GAAACGCCACAAATTTCAAGTAAGTGTCTTAGTCCCATTTCATTTACTCGCGCTATAAGGATTCTTTTGGAAGGCATTTTCAGGGATTCTCGCCGCCATGTTGTCTCCCGCTACTGATGGCGTTGGTATCTTTTTACGGTGTTATTCCTTTTCTCGCAAAGAAAGCCATATCATTTAAACAGCGGAGTAATTGTAATAGACTTCTGGTATTAGCTTTTTATTTCATATGTTTTTATCATGTGATTTGCAACGACTGTAGACTACATTCAGTCAAGTTTATTAAAATAATATTTAAAAAATGTAGTAAACACAGACCAACATGAGCAAAAGTAAATCTTGTTTTCATGCCAAAACATATGCTTAGAAAGCTCAACCAAACAGCTGTTTACGACTTCAATTTGGTTAATAAATTGTGTAATTTTTTGGTTGCAAGAAGCACTCAGCTTTTCAACTAAAGTAAGCACATTATTATAAACTTATTCTTGCTGGGGTTGGTCTCGTTTTAAGTTTCGTTTCTTTCTCTCTGGAATCATCTCTGTTTATAGGATGAACAACTAAATGATGCTCTTCCATCATTTTCTTTAGTCGTGATGTCGCTGGCTTCACATGAGAAAATGTTGATGCAAGTTGGACAAATTCATGGTGGACACTTTCGCCTCCTTGCTCACCGAAGAAGCCTAGAGGGAAGTGCCATTTGCGCATGAAAGGAATAACATGTTCCTCGAGCATATGTAGCTTGGGAGGAAAGGAAGCGTCTGGGAAAGTTGTCCTGAAGAAACACACAAACTCTTTTATACCTGTCTCTGTTGACAACAATTGTAAGGTAGACAAAATATTAGAATCCTAGAAACTCATACAGGTGATGTAAAATATTGGAGATCTCAAGGTTTTTGTTGTACCTAAGACATCAATTTCTGTGTCCTCCACTGCCTCACTGGAATTGTATTTTGAATGGCACCGGACAAACAGGGTTAACAGTGATTCAAACTTCTTCTGGATAGCAGTGGCCTCATGAAAAAGAGATGAAGATGTTGTCCTAGTCGTTTCAGAAATCGTTTCACACAAAGATTTGTTGTTGTTTGCCTGAAAAAGGATGATATAATAATTTAAACTTTATCAATCATGGGTACAAGTCTGAATAGTAATCACCAATATCGATAGGGTTTTCGTTCTGACTTGTTACCTTAAGGCAGATGTCAACATGATTGCCAACAAAACTTTAACTGTGGTAGGCTTGTCTTTTGACATTAATTTTCTGTAGAAATTTCTCAATCGCAGTATTCACTATCCCAGATCCTTTCGGTAGTGAATTACTGGACTGAATGGCCAGTGACTGCGCTCTCTATAAAAGTGAATGACAAGAGTCAGAAAGAATAAACTGAAGCCAATGCTAAGAAAATCTCATTTCCATTCGTCAACTTGAAATCAAGTATTTTTTAATTGTCCAACTTAAGTTAGTTTCATGCTCTTCAATTAAACAACAAACCTCATTTTCGGCTTTCTCTTTGAGCTCTTTTACAGAGTTTACAGAGTTTTACAGAGTTCGTCAAACATTATAACATTGCTGGCCACAGTCAGAAGGTGTACCACGTATTCCTCGGTTGATTGAGCTTGTGCGTCATAATCTTGGGCTGCCTTTGAGTGTTCTGCAGCTTGTCTAAGAAGTGTGATGTGCTCATTTAGATCTCCCATACCATGTAGCTGACTACTGCTTTCAGCCAATTTCCAGGCAATCTTTGTATCTAACTCATCACACTCCCCAACAAGCATATAAAAAAAACTTCAAAAACAGTCCAAGGCTAATGTGGAGACCAGGAATGCATATCTGAAGATTATCATGCAAAACAATATTAGTGAAATAATACAAAAGGAATAATCTACATTATCTTGAAAAAGGTTTCTGGATAAGATGTTATACCTGGTCAATTGGGATGGGATTTCAAAAATCGCCTTCTGGATTACACTGCAGTAGTTCTTTGCCTTTTTTATGTCACCCCCATCATCAATGAATTTTTTGTGGCAATTCTGAAGGTGTTCCAGTGTACGGGATGTTGTAGGGCTTCTTTGATTCTTTGGGAGTTTCATATCACTAGTTATGATGGTACACCAGAGGCATGAATGACGTCCTACAAAGAATGTTGAATTTGTAAGTTCCTGAATTTATTTTAGCATTCAAAGTGCATTAAAATTTGTTAAACTGATTTGCTTACCACTTGCACCACTGATCCCCATAACTTTACAAAGGAATTCGTAATCCCCAAAAAGGAAGAGGACTGGGATTTTGTTCCTAAAATATAATTTATACAGTCATCCAAATTAATACTAGAATAATTAGATTTGTATTACCGGTAATAATTTGGGCATAGGATTATTAACTTCCTTGACTCTTAGAGTAGTAAGTTCCTTCAGAGAATCAGCGTGCTGTTGAAGGACTGTGAGAAGATTGTTTCGGGTATCCTTACCCTCATAAATGGCAAATACCACAGTTTTTTTCCTAGAGTTGGGTTTAACGAGGCTGGCCAATTGAAATTCTAATTTCATTGACCCTTGCCCATGATCTCCCCCAATTTTAACAAAACGTTTGTCTTGTGGTATTTTGCCATTGTGCCAAGTAAGTTGTCCCGTCCTGTGAAAAAATTATTGTAAAGAGCTATTAGAAACAATCCCCTAAAGACATGTCTTCTAGTCAATTAAGAATAAGAAGCATAGTCTTACTTACGAGTCACAGTCATCCACATAAGAAATAATTTGCTCCTTAAGGTCGCTGACATAGGCACAGGGAGTTTCCTTTATTACCGTGACAGTCTTGTTCCCTCGTCTCTCTGTGTGTTCCATTGGAAGAAGCTCCTCTTCAATTTTGTCTCCTATCTGCTCCCTCTTGCGTACTCTTTGCTTCTTCTCACTCTCCATCTTGATTCCCCATTGCTTAAACCACCTTAATGTAAAAACATTCAGATATCCAAACTAGGTACTGTGAACATTAAATGGAATTATTTTGTTTTTGCCTAAATGAGAGTCACATAGAACATGATGAGTAAAATTAAAACATGATTAAACTATACCATACCTTCTTAGTTTATTGAGACGGTACCAGGTGATCCCCAGATCTGCCTTCATGGCATTTGCTTGACCCTCTGGAAGGTGAAGAACAAGTTCCTTCCCCAGGGCGTCATTTAAAATTTGCCTTCTCTCCTCCTGACTCTTACGTTTAAGGGTGTGTACCATGTGCACATCCATCGGGTCACTGCTTATGGTTTTACCCACTGTCTCAATTGCTTTTGTCCTATTAAGAGAGTGTCTCTGTAAGAGCGGTCCGGTCGATTTTGCTTGATACACAGATTTAGCTCATTTCTTGTGTGTTGTAAGACATTCATGTACCTATACTAAAACCACAATCCGTTTGATCGGATCTCTTTATTTTTCAGAGTTTTACGGAAATTAAATTTCACTCGAGCGAAGGCCTGTCGTGACACTTTTCAAGACGTTAATTTGAGGCAACTTTGGCGGACAATTTACAACAAACTACGGGACTCAGCAAAAAACAAATACCACAGCCATGTATATTAACTCTATCTTATCCATCGAGGCAACTTTCGTGAATATCACGTTTCAATCAAGCAAACAGGAAGACTTGAACGACACCTTATCGGTTCGCTTAAGTCACACACGCGAAAACCCGATCAAATTCAAGGTACATTTTTGAAAAAGTGAGGCGTTCTTAACTGATCCAACTAATATAGCTAGGAAGTAGGTGCCATAGAAAAGGTAAGTACAGAAAAAAAACTTTGCAGCCTGACCTTCACTAAAACTTTATAACTCCGTGAACTTACCTAATTTTGGGCAATCTCCAAGTTTTGCCGCCATTTTGAGGGACTTGTCAACATGAAGCGTAGCAGATATAAATCGAGCAGGTAGATCTAAAACCGTCAGGAAAATTGCAAATGAAAAGAATAGGGTTTAGTGATAAAAGGTCACATCGAATCAAGGAATGAGCTAAAACTAACATAGTTCACTTGACAATTGTATGTCAGACTTACAAGTGGAAAATGCTAAAAATTGTACATTACCAGTTTTATTAACACCTTACGTAAATGACATTGGTTACTGTTACGGAAAATCATATTTTAGAGTCAGCTTTGTATAAAGCAATGGTTTTGCATACATTCTTGGCAACAGCAAAAATGATTTAAAACAAACCTTCTAAGTATAGTGTTCATTCCGTGCAATAACGCATAAATAAAAGGTTCTGAAAGAAAAGACACCTTATTTTATACCACTGAGGACAAGCAAAAAGGTCATATGGGTACCTCGGTTAAAAATATTTAAATAACTCTATTAATTAATACCAGTTCTAATTTAAAGGAAAAAGTTATGAGAATAAAATAAAAGTTGTCCGTACCACGAAGCTTGCCTTCACTGTTTAGACTGAGCGTCCTAACGCTTTTTTATCATGTATTCGAATATCTTATGACGATAAGTCCGCCACCCACACCACCCCGCGCCGTACTGTTTTCACTCAGCGGCTGGTCAGCGGTCACGTTTACGAGGTAAACATGGCGATCACTTCATGATCACCGTTCTTGTCGATCAGAAAATCAAAATACCAGCGTGATATGGCCTCGAAGATGAAGCAGTTATGTTGTTTGATTCGTACTTCACATTCGAAGCGAAGCTTGGGTGGCACAGGTTATTTCTTACTGTGGAATCGACGAGGGAAATTCGAACACTAGTTGTAGTGTTTGAATTGTTGGAAGAAATGGTCGCATGGGGATGTAAGAATGGTAGGTTTAACGAAAAATTTCACATTTTGCCCCTTGAATTGAAAGTGAAGTTCATTTGAATGCTTTCGTATGTATTTCTGACGGTTTTAGATCTACCTGCTCGATTTATATCTGCTACGCTTCATGTTGACAAGTCCCTCAAAATGGCGGCAAAACTTGGAGATTGCCGAAAATTAGGTAAGTTCACGGAGTTATAAAGTTTTAGTAAAGGTCGGGCCGCAAAGTTTTTTTCTGTAGTTACCTTTTCTATGGCACCTATTTCCTAGCTATATTAGTTGGATCAGTTAAGAACGCCTCACTCTTTCAAAAATGTACCTTGAATTTGATCGGTTTTCGCGTGTGTAACTCATGCGAACCGATAAGGTGTCGTTCAAGTCTTTCTGTTTGCTTGATTGAAACGTGATGTTCACGAAAGTTGCCTCGATGGATAAGATAGAGTTAATATACATGGCTGTGGTATTTGTTTTTTGCTGAGTCCCGTAGTTTGTTGTAAATTGTCCGCCAAAGTTGCCTCAAATTAACGTCTCGAAAAGTGTCACGACAGGCCTTCGCTCGAGTGAAATTTAATTTCCGTAAAACTCTGAAAAATAAAGAGATCCGATCAAACGGATTGTGGTTTTAGTGTAGGTACATGAATGTCTTACAACACACAAGAAATGAGCTAAATCTGTGTCTCAAGCAAAATCGACCGGACCGCTCTTACAGAGACACTCTCTTAAGACGCTGCCTAGCAGTCACTTGATCAGAGGGTTTTTGGGCAACAGGAACATGTACTACACCTAAAGGCTAAGACAACATTTAATAGGTAAAATGAGCACATACCATAAGGGAAGGGAAGAATGATTAATTACAGGGCAAATTCAAAACATAAAGTTACCTTTCCACCAGTCTTGAAGAGTACAGTTTTTCCATCCGGGGCATTTTAAATTCTACTTCTGACATATGCCGTGCAAATTTTTCCACTTCTGGTGAGAAATTACCAGCTTGAGCGTCTTTTAGAACTTGCTGCAAAGTCTGGGTGGGATCAAGGGGAGCTGCCATTGCTGGAGGCTGTTCAGGAACAGGTGCGGTGTCATTGGAACAAACATGAGATGAACTGTGTTCGTAGTGCACAGTCTGGCCACATTTCTTACATATTACCTCCTGCTCAGCTATTAATTTTAGTACCATTCGTGTAGGGATTTTTACAGGGCCAACTTTCTCCTTACAGACAGCACATGTACCCCCTTGGCCACTGTTAATTAAGCCTTTTAGGCATTCTACACAAAAGTAATGCTGACAAGTGGTTTCCACTGGCTTATCCAAGACTTGAAGGCAAACCGGGCAAATTAAATCTCGTTTCATATTTTCGGGAAAGGAAAATTTATCGGAAAACTCCTTGAAGCGAAGAGAAGGTAAGTCTTTAGTAAGCTCTTCAAGAGCTTGTAAAGAGGTTTCGTTGGCGTCCTTTGTCTCCTGCGTATTGGAAGGTCTTGAATCGGCCTTCCTTCCCCTTTTTGGCTTCTTGGGCCGTGCTCCTTTTTTAATCTCTTCTACACGGGAACATACTCCACAGTTATCTTCGTAATGAGTGAGCCATGTGGCCTTAACTAGTGTTCTTCAGTCAGGATGCGCGTAACATGAATGACAAAAATATTGCGGGTGTATTTCTTCAAGATCCTTTTCCACAAAAATTTCAAATTTTTCAGCCAAGAAATCTTTCCATTTCATACAGAGAAACTTTGAAGTAACCGCTTTCTTGGATTTTTGAAGCCTTTCGCCACATACACGGCAAAGGTCAGCTAGATTCTTCATGTGAATTGACGCCATTGTCGCAGCGGAACAAAAAATGTTGTGATATTAAGTTGTCTTAAATCGGGATTTAGAGAAATGGGACTAAAATTTTACTTGCAGGGGGCTATAACATATAGTTTAATGATTCTAAAAAAAGCAGTGAAGCGGCGACAAAAACTTCAGAAGAAGAGGAAGGGCGCTTTTAATTTTCTACATTTGCGTAATACGGAAGCCGCGCCATAACATTGCGTGGTTCAACAAGGTCTCGCTTTACAACTCTCAAAATAATGACTCAACACTCCTGTGTCACGTCTCTTATGGCTTCGTGACCTAAAGATTCTAAATACAGTTATTGCGCATACAAATCTTTCATCGCCGTCTGCGGCGCATTGTGTTTTTTTGGCTTGGGAAAAAAAAAACACTGTCATTCTTAAAGGACCGGTTAGTTATTAACTGGAAGTTAATATGGTCAATCCCATCTTGGTTAACATTGCGCGGTCGCAAAGCAAATTTCCGATCTCAGCCATTTGAAAGTGCCGTGAGAGGGCATGGGCACTTCTGATGACATGAGTCTGTGGCTTGTTGCTTCTTTCTCCGAATTTGCCCCAGAAGCTAGAAAAATGGGGAGACAAAGAGAAAAACAACAACAAAAAACAAATCAATGGGGGTTCTTAACTTGCAGACTTTGTCTGCATTTTACGTGGTTAACATGAAGACTTTGTCTGCAACTTATCCATACATTTCCTTCTAATTTTGTGTCCAACGGTTGTCTACTGTTTTCTTCCAAAGGGTGTTTCTTAAATGCAGCCTTTGTCTGCACTTTAATTTAATTAATTGCAGTGTTTTTAACCATTTATTACCTGTTCAGCATCATCTTGGCGACTTGTTTCCGCCCTGGATTTTTCGCCACATGCTCCAACTGAATCCCCTCCTTGTCTTTGTAGGCATCAATGTACGCATCTTTCTCTTCTCGGGTGGTACACTCGTCAGGCCATCCCGCGGATTCTTGCTTGATCTTAAGCCAAGTGTTTACATAATCAGCGAAGAGCGGAAATGGAACACTTCATGAATCTTGAGGATGCGATACCCTAACTCGACAGCTTTCTGTAATTCGATTGTCGCCCAGGTTCCTCTCAGGGTTCTCTCTTGATCCGTGTGACAACAGATGTTGGCTCGCTCTAACCACGGTTTTTTCTTGTTCCTCTTTCACACAAGCAGCACAGAGAGGGAAAGTCAACTTGCCCCCAGCTCTGTAGGGGAGGACAGGGTGGAACAGAAACTCGGGGGCCAAGATGTCCACTTTGGCGACGCCAAAATAGTGGTGAATATCTTGATCCCTAGGATTCGTATAGATGAGGGGGAACCTGACGGGGTACTCCATATACTTGTTGACCCACGGGTAAAGTGACGTCACATCTGCATATTTAATGAGATCAGGGTCTTCGACTTTACAATGTAATGCGACTGCACCTGTTCTTCCTCCATAGAAGGCGTCACGTGGATTGAGGGGAGGGACCATTTCCAACTCTTGGAGAAAAGCTTGTAACTCTGGGTCGGTTTTCTTTCTTTCTTGAAGACACATTCCCACTTTTCCACGACCGTATACCCTGCTTGGCGCAGCAGGGCAGCTTTTTTCAGGGTAGCATCGTAGACTTCATTGATGGTTCGATCTGAATGACAGTTGCGCCGAACATCTCTGTAAGGTTTGAAACAATGGGGACAGCCGTGGTACCAGCATCCGTAAAACTCAAATACAGTGTTGGTTTCTTCATCAAATCCGTCTACATAATAGCTTTCTGAGGGTGTGAGGACCTGAACCTCGCGTCCGTTATGCACGTGGCGGACACGCCCCATTCCACCCAGCAAATGGTCTTTATAATACATCCATTCCAGAGCGATGGTACTTTGGTTGATATGGTTCCCATGCCATCCTCCTAGAGGCTCGAGGGCAATGAGGTTTTCTTCCAGTTTTTCCTTGCCCCAGAAGTAGTTGCACGCTGAGGCGATGGTCACGGATTGAATAAGGGGGTAAAAGCCAGCGATATCTTTAAATTCTCTCACGAATTTAAGGCAACCTTCTTTGAGAAGTTTCACGTCACTTTCACAGTAGGCTAATAACTCCTCTTGAAAATTGAAGGTGGCGTTACTCTCTACTTTCTGCTGGTACCACGTCATAAACTCTTCTCTTTTCTTATCATTCATCCCATCTGGGTCGTACTCTGCCATTGGGGGGTAACTTCCTGAATAATTAAAATTTTCTTGGCGATTGAAGGCATGCGGGAAGAACCCCTTGTGAAGCTCTGTTAGATTAAATGCAGCTGGAAATCTTTCCAAGGGCATGGCAAAGAAATTGAAGCTTTCTTTAAAAATGAGGTCACCGCTTTCAAAATATAAAATTTTGGCCCCCTGGGTTAAGGGATTCTCCGCAGCACGACCTTGATCATATAGTGCTTCTAGAACAAAGTTACCATCAAAACCTCGGAGGTTATGAAAAAAGGTGATGACTTTTCTGGGTCGGTCATTATTTTCGACCTCTGTTAGTGCCTCACAAGCTTCTAAAAATGGTTCTTGCATGATGAATCTCCTCATCCTCTTCACTGGACCAGCAGATGAGGTTGGGTTGAAACTCGCGGTCCTCGGCGATTGCACATTCTATATCTGCAAAGTTCAATACAGGTGGGGGTGGAGGGCCTCTCTTGTCATCGTCATCATCATCATCATCAAATTGAAAATACATGGGGTCCTCAAAGGCGTCCTCTTGTGGCTGTGGAGGGGCTTCTTCGTTAATGGGCTGAATGCAACAACGGTGAGCGACATGTGTAAATTCCCCACAGTTTCTGCAAGTTACATGGTAGCATTTGTGTGTTTTTTTGGGATTGACTTGATATTCAGTGCAGCAGAGTGGGCATTTCTTCCATCTGTCACAAATACTTTCGTCTCCTCTCTTCTTTCCTTTGGTTTTGTGCGCTTGAAAACAATCTTGCCCATAAAACATACGATTGCAGTCGGTGCAATAAACGGTAGGCTTAATCCAGGTGGCAAAGTTCGGACAGGTTTTATTTTGACGGCAACAGGCAGCGCAATTTTGGCCTTCGCAGTTGTGATGTTGGGCGTCCTGTGTATTATAGCCTCGGTCACAATGGCGGCAATAATAGGATCTGTTCATGAGGGCAGGAATACTTGTTAATCCATCATAGTGCCCATTATACTTGACGATACCAATCACATGGGGTGCTTCATTATAGGTGGGGTCTTTAAAGACCACTAAACATTTTGAGGGTTTAACCACGATGAGCTGGTAGTCCTGTGGTCCGAGGAAATCTTGGAATTTTTGCAATTCCTCGAACCCGCAGGGGCCTTCGGGAACACCTGCTTCTTGATGCAGGCGACGCGCCCACCGTTCTTGAATGGTTTTCCTTGTCTCAGATTATGGTAATGGACCTCTCATCCGCTCTTTCTTTCATGGTGACAATACCTCTTGCCAGACAGAGGTCGTCTTTGTTTTTGATTTGTATCACACATTTTTTTTTTTCGCCATTTTCTCCCATGCCATTTTTCCTGGATTTCCCTTTTTTCCTCCATTTTTTCCTCCACGTCCAAACGTTTTCACGAACGTCAGTTCCACAAAGAACCCATCCCTCTCGGGGTCCACAACTTGGGCTGAATTTAATTTGCGGGCTAACTGCTCTAAATAGCTGCGTGCATACTCTTGATTGTGCAGCCACTCATT